GAGCAGCCTAAAGTGACAGCTGTCGACCAGCCCGATGGTGAAAAATTAAATCAACCGCTACCCTTTTGGGCATTTAAAAATGAATCTATTTTCAAAACTAAGGCCGACTCGCCTCCGCGCCTGGGCATTTTCGGCGGGACGAAACCGAGCGAAGCCGCGAAACAGTTCACATTTAAAATGCCTCAATCGGCTACCGCCCAACAAAAATCATTGGGCATATTTCCCCTTCCATCCAACGACAATCAGTTCGCCTCAACAGTCGTCCAACCTCAACCCCAAAAACCAGTATTTAACGTGCCAATTTTTCCAACGCAAAAGAACCAAAACGAGAGCATCATGCAATCGTTCTTCGGTTCGGATGCCGCGAGCAAACCCAAAACTGCCCTACCTCAAGCGCCTGCCCACTTCAGCGGTTCCCAGCCGCCCATTTTTGCCAATCAGAAATTCGATTTTGGCGCGCCGCTCGTTCAAACTGCTCGTCCGGCGTCAGAAAAGGTGGAAACGAACATGGCCGAGGTGCTGCGTTTAAAGGAGGAGGAGACGAAGCGCAGGTTAATGGAACGGGCCGCCGAAGAGCAACGCGAACGGGAGAGGTTGGAGAAACTGCGCTTGGAGGAATTGGCAAGGATGAAAGAGGAGGCGTTGAGGAAGGAAAACGAAAGGCGCAAAAGGGAGAAGGAAGAGGAAATGGAGAAGAGGCGCATAGGTAAAGTTCACTTTAAGTCTAAGTTTTGAGTTTGTAGCGTTTTTGTTCTTTTCGTGTTTCATCGCTCTATTTTACATAAACTGTATTCTCTACTTTGATCTTAATTCAGTTGTTTTTCCTAAAATAATAAATATTGTTTTGTAAGTGTGTTTGGATAAGTTCATGCTACTCACAGTTACTAGGGCGTTCATTTTTGGACCGAATTGTAACAGAAGCTGCAGGAAATGTAAAGAAGTAGACTGTTGTATTACGAAACTTACTACCTACTCTTTAGTTGTTTGAGAGTGCTAATTATTAAATTCAAATCCTTGAGCACCTTATTTCTGATCATCTGAACTCATTCTGTTTGGGTGTTTTCGAATCTCATGTTCTTTTTAACGTCTTCATCTGTCTAATTCTGGTTTGGAAGTAGGTGGGTGCACATGGGTGGCTTTATTCTCAATTTATCATCTTGAGGTGTGCCTTGGTAATTCGGCAACGTCTATTTTTGCAGCTATGCTGGTGGAAAAAGAACGACTACTAAGAATCGAAATAAACAAAACCGTCACGGAACTTATGAACGACCTCCTAGCACGAGTCGAAGCAATACGAAAAGAAGAACGTCTCAACGACATAGCGACCAACATCAGAAACTTTAAAACCCGCCAATTCGTCGCCCTATGGAAGAAGAAGTGTCGTCTAATCAAGAGAAAACGACACGCAATCGATCAGAATCCGGTCTGGTTGCCCGAACGTTCCGTTTCCGAGGAGGCGGCGCAACTCCTCACCGCAAACCAGGAGTTGATGTTGCAAAATATTAAACGCTATAAGACTGGGAAATCGTACGAGATTGCCGCGTCCGAAAGAGAACAAGTCGACAGTATCGACATTAGCTACTATTACAAGTTGTTACTCGCGAGTTACACGAAGATGCAGACGAGACTTCCGAACGAACTCTTCTGGAAGGTTACTGTCTCACTGCCCGATTTTAAGGAAGTTAAGGTCGGGTTGAGCGTTATCGAGAGCGTTTTAATGCAGTATTTCAAATGGAAGGATCGCTATGGATCTACAGCGAGAGTCGATCAATATCAAAGTGGCAAATTGTTGGGGTATTGCATCGAAAGGAAGCAGGGAGTATGTATTTTAGTTGCTTCACCGCAGTCTAAGTACAAAGCACTCTGCAATGGACCCACAGTTTGCTAAAGGCCATTATGGTCGTTGGTCTGTTAGTATTATAGCGTAGTGGGATGCTAACCCATTCATTAAGTTGCCCACAATTATAAATTTGTTTGTATCTTTTTTTCCGTTTAGGCTCCTTTTTCAATCAAATGCGCGCTAGGGTTGTTTCAGCAAGAAAACGCCATTAGAATCAATGGCATGGGTTAGTTTGTATCGGTGCAAAGCGCATTGTGTTTAGGCTGTGGTTTAATGTGAATGAGAACACGGTTATTGTTGTAGGTATTAGAGGTTGACAGCAACTCGAATGGAATTGTGTTCTTGTCACACGAGCCCAGTGACCACCTTCACCAACGAATTTCGTTTGCGATAAAAAATTTTCCAAAATGTTGCCGGTTAGCTGTAGCAGTTGTATTCGTTAACGATGAGGCTCAAAGTATTAACTCTCAAAAATTAGGAGTGCTTCTGGAGAAGAACCCGCGCATCACAAATTATAAAGTAATTACGTGTCAATTCCAACGACACTCCATACTGAGCGCTGTTAAAGAGAGTTTAGATTTTCTCTCTGAAAACATTCAGAAACCTCCCCCTCTCGAGCTGGACATGGTGGGTTCGTTCGTTTACTCGCACTTATCAATCGACTTATGGAATCGAATGAAGAGCTGCTCTGTTTGGAATGCGAACTACAAAACATGCTTAAAGTCGCCAAATTTAGTGATTGGTTTGTACAATCAAGGCATCGATAAACTCAAGGAGATCGTTTCGGACCACACCTGTTTGGACTATCCCAGTTTTCCCATCGAATTTGATGTGCTACTGCACGAAAAGATACCAGAAGTCCTACCATGCGATTATAGGTTTGTTCTACTAATAATCTAAGAGGTACTTTTTGTTTAAAATTACCGCCGCTAGATGATGCTTTAAACTAGAAAGTTCCTTTGTGGAACAGTAGTTATAGACAGTCACATTACACGCCAGACAGACAGTGAGGTTCTAGCGCTGTTCAACAGACCTGTTCCTGTTAAACCGACTTGTTTAATATTAACAGGTCAGTGGAACACTCTTATTTTCATAAACAGGCCTGTTCATATTCGCACGTCAAATGATTTGCGCCCAAACGCATGCGCTAGAATGTCATGTAACGTTCTGACTCAGGTGTCCCTTTAACTACTTGAAACAATTAAAATCATGTTTCAGGTCCTTCCCTTCATTTTGGAGAAAGGCGACATATCGATCTCTACTTCGTAAAACCCTAAACTCACTAAAACTACCCGAATACAAATCGGTATGGCCTCCTAACGACGAGTCCACACTGGAGAAGGATCTCTTCGCGTATTGCTTATCGATTTTCAAAAATCCACAGAAAGTATTCTACAAAGTGATGGCAGTTGTTTTGAAGAACTACGACCCGTCGTGCGACTTTGATAGAATAAAAAACCTCCTCTGGATCGACATAATGGGAGTGATTTCCGCCGAGAAGCTGCAGGAGGGCAATTTTCTTCTACGCCACACCCCGTTTCACGCCAAGTCGACGTTTACGCAGTCGTTCGTCGTTTATAAAACTCAAGCTCTCGAGAGGTTCAAATCTGAGGAGTGGTTTTATTTGGAAAATCCGCTGGTTAAGAGCGAAATAAAGAAGTTACCAGAGAAGGTGTACGCGCATGATGTCAGGAGAACTAATCAGAACACGATCTCAGTTGAAGAGATTGATCTAGATGAGATAGAAAAAATGGTAAGGGCAGATAAAACTGTAAGTACTGATTCAAACATTGACAAACTGAGAGAGTTGGAAGAGTTTATGAAGGATTTAGAAACCAGTATGGATATTCACAAACAAATCAATGCCACTTTTCAGCGAACTGTTAATCAAGCTCTAGGTATAAATAATTAACTATAAGTTTACGAAATAAATTATGTTGTTGACTGAATCTTTGGTATTTTTCTCTTGCTGGCGACGAACACCCACTTTCATTTCGGTAGCAGTCGACTCGGACTGGATAGCACAAATAGGTCCTGCGTTGTGGGTTCTTTTATGTGATGGGATGTGAAACATAATCGGGAAGGGTATTGAATAAAATGCAGAATTCTATGCGTAAGAGACTAAGAACACACAATAAGGCGGTAGCAGGAAAACCTTTTATTGGCAAAAAACCTGATATGTCCTGCACAAATACATGAAATAAATCAACTACCAGAACAAAAAACAAAAGAAAAATAGACACAAATCAAACTCAAATTGTACAACAAAAATCAGTTATCAAGTCAAAAGCAATAAATCGACAAAGAACGTACGGAAGAAGCGGATAATTGCAATTGTCAATTCCCGAGTCGGCGGGTCGTTTTGAAAAATTGCTGTTTTCATCATGCCCCAGATGTATGCATCCGGGTGAGTAAGGTCGGGGTTATGTGGGGGATAATTAAGGTCTGTTTTTCGGGAAATCACACTGTCACCAAAATGATCCCCAGTCAACGACTGACCAGCGATATGACTCGTCGCACCGTCTTGCTGAAATCACTGTCTTAGGTTTCTGAAAACTTCAGCTAAAATTGAGATCCAACCCATTTAATACTATGTTAATTATGTCTGCCAAATCCGTATGAGCGATTATATGCTTCACATACTTACAAACGACTTTTTATCAAAAATACCTGTGCATGTGACTTTATCCCCGTGTAAATGTGGTCTTAAGAAAAATTCCCCGTATAAACAATTCTGTGTCAATAGATCAAGTGGCACACCAGGTGAAATTGTCAAAATATAGTATTGTCACGACATACATTTTTCATGTGCATATAAATTCAAGTAGGTAACTTCCGCACAATATGCCTCGACAAGGAAAAGGTGGCAGTGGGCATGGCTCGTTTAGTAGAAGCAGTACCGGTTCAATGAAATTACAGCAACCAAGTCGGAAGTATTCGTAAGTAAATTTTAAACATTCCTTGTACATTGGTAACTCTGTGTTGGTGAAACCGTTAACTCTAATCTCGCCACAACGAAACTATTTTTTGATAATCCTTCAAAAAGCGTAGGATGTATAACAACATATGGATTTACATATGTTTAAACTGCATTTAATCTTCAAATTTTAGTAGCTATAAAAGGTGTTTAGATTAATTTCATAATTTATTTGCGTGTATAGGTCACGAAGCAATTGTCACGGTTTGCAACACACGTTAAGGCGCATATTCATATAGCGGACGATTTCGGCCGAGTGGATTCGCTCGGCTAAATGTGAACGCACAATCACAAGCGAACGAATACGTTAGCATTTTCTAGTTTTCGCTATCGCCAGGTGGCGCATCAAAGAAAATTTTCGAAGAATTCGTTCGGTATATTTTCTAGTGTGTACGGCTTCCCACAGTATTCGCAATGGCTATATACCTACCGCGTATACACCCGCGAACGTTCTCATTGATGAGACTTGTGAAAATTGCATTGTAAATATTGCTCGGCCAGTCGGAACAATTTTGAGCAATGACAATGGACGGCCAGCCAGGACTGACAGTCCACGGACTGCCGGTGAACTGAACATGAGTGTCGAAGCTTAAGTAGTTATGGAGACTCCAAGCAAACAAGATATCTTGGTTTTCCCATTTTTAGATTTTATAAGGTAACTAAAGAACTATTGGATACATATTATGCTTCGTTTATTAATCTTCATCTGATATTACTTCCCCATGAAATTACTGTTTCAGTCGATATTTTACCTAAAAAAGGGCCAAAATTAATTTTTTTGATTTTTTGGAAAAAACCGCCAATTTTTGGAGGGCACTATTAGCCTTAAAAAGTTGGAGTGGGGGTAAAATCGTAGATTTAGTTTAAGACGTCTATCTCAATTTCTCGTAGGATCATTTTATGAATTTTGAGCCTAAAACCGAATTTCAAGATTTTTGTGTCCTGAGATTAGCTCATGTCTTTTCAATCTCCAAATTGGCGTTTTGTGTTGAAAATTTGCGGTCTAAAATAAATGAACAAAAATCATTTATTTTTAAGATTTTCCTTTTAATAAATTATAAAAATACTACAAATTATGTATATTTATAAACTGTTGCATCCAAGGACGGATAATCAGTAAATATTAGGCAAAATGGGCTCTGTAAAGTACAGTTGGTTGCCTAAGTACCAATCGTGATTTATTCTATTGTCACAGTATGTATGTCCTATTGTCATTCCTAAATATTTTATTATATTCTTCACATGAAATTATGAAACCAAAAATTTAAAAAAAAATAGGCAACAACAATGATAAAAATACTAAAAATGACCTTTAAACCCTCAATACTGTCATTATCACATGATTTGGAGAGTTTTCAAAACGTCAACTCTATCTCTCTCTATCACGTTCCAATACGCAATACCGAGTCGCGTGTTCCTTCATCAACTACGTCTGATCAGAAATTTCTAGAACTGTCAAACGTTGTTAAATAAACGTCGTACCTATTTCTTCTCAATAAAATTAGCCAAGAAAAATGCCACGACGAGGACGATCAGCATCACCATCACCAAGGTCCGCACCAGCTCCTAGGTAAAGTGTTAATAACCGTTAATTACTGCTGTGTTATTACCTAACCTAATCATGCTGCGTGGTTTTTTAGGACCAATCTCCCCGCGAGAGCACCACCTGCGGCTGCGGCGCATCCACCAAGCCATCCCCCTGCGATGGCAACGCCCGCACCTCAACAACCGAGTCTCTTCGGACAAATGGCAGCGACCGCTGGAGGTGTAGCCATCGGTTCGGCGATCGGTCACACCGTTGGTCATGCCATGACCGGTAAGAAAATTCATAACGGTGAAATTTTGTACACAAAACCCTTTTAGGAATGTTTAGCGGTGGCGGCGGCAACGAACCCGCGCAGGCTCCACAACAAGCAGCTCCAGCATCCGCTCAGCCTCAACAGAACTTAGACGAGACAGGTCCCTGCGCTTGGGAAATAAAACAGTTTCTACAGTGCGCTAGTAATCAGTCCGATTTAACACTCTGCCAGGGATTCAACGAAGCCATGCAACAGTGCAAGATACGAAACCGTAAGCAATACGTGCGTCATTTTTAAGGGCAATCATTTATCTTTTATATTGCAGATATGGCTTAGGTGCGATTACGGTGCCAGCTAGTTTATCAAATTAGTCCTTTAGTAAATTGGAATGCGATAACGTGGAAGGTTTCGTTTATGTAAAGGTATTGCTCCATGCTTTTTGTATAGAGTAGTTCAAAAAATTTGTGTAGTTATAAATAACAAAAAATAAAATTTAAATGAGAACAATTTTATGAATGTTTTATATTTTTGTTGGATTATGTAATGAGTAGCAGTCTTAGAGTAAGCTTTATTCCTTACTCGGCTTCCTATACTGGTGGCAGGTCATAGCCAAGGGCCATATTGAAAAATAGTATTATAAAATTCCATGGCATCACAGATTATTGAAAAAGATGCGGGTTTTATTTTTCCAGTTTTCCGTCTATTATACAAAAAATTGAAAACTAACACGTTTTATCGGCGTAAAAAATTTTTTCCTACAAAAAACCTTAATACATTTTTGCTCTAAAATAATTTGAGGGGCCATAAATTTTACATTGAAGTCCCTATGATACGTTACGCAAGTCACCACCCTGTATAGTAGTTCTTTCACTTGGTAGTTCTCTACGAGTAGTTCTAATGTGTTCAAGTTGGTGTCACGTGATATCTACAATGGCGGGTTGTGGGGTAATTTTGTTTTGATTTTCGCGTAACGACGTTTTGCTAAAACCGGCAAATCGATTATAGCTACTATACAGTGCGGAAATCTAACAAATTTGCTCGGTTATGTTTCAGTCGTTCTGCGTTACTAATAGTGAGGTTAGGAGACTTTAAATTTGAATTGTAAGTGCCTGCTCGCATTTGTGCTTGGAAAGTTCAACTGTTATCAAGAAGTAGTGACCTAGGGTAAGATTTTAACATAGGATTTGTGTGGTGAAGGTTTCCGTTAATGAACTAAATGTCGGTACTCGGATGATTTAATTCTTTGAAATCAACATGTCAAAGTCTGCTTAAGCTTACTTGAAGCTCTGCTTGGCAACTGTCGCATTCATACACAAATTGAAAAAGTTTTACCTAGAAATCCATTATGGTCATAAGTGTTCGAACTTCACCTGAATATCACTCCTACAGGCTACTTCCCATCTGTAAGAAATATCAATTTTCTTCACCTTTTGCAGTCTTTGAAACAGTGTACATACTACATGACTACAATACAATACAGTACTCAACTAATTCAATATGTGGAGGTAAGAATTACTTACATTACTTTTTAAAAATTGATTTGTAGTTATAAATGTTACAGGCGAGGTTACAGGGATTCAAGCTATTATGCCTGTGCACGCACAATCCTCATTACTAGCGTCAGGATATGACAGTGTTCCATGAGTCTTTCTTCAGGGAGTATTGTATCTGGCTATTGCCATGCAAAAGAGACAGATTGTTACTCTGCTTTGTTTAAGTGTCGTTTCAAACATTGATTCTAGAGATTTATTCATGTCCCAAAACCCCCCTCAACTAGAATTTTCATTTGTTTATTTTAAAAAATTTAAAATTTGAAACCACTGCTTCTCGAAAATATACAAACGTATCGAGTACAATACACCCAAACACCATTTTTGTGTTTAGTCCCCTTACGGGAATAGGACCGTACAAGCTTCTTATTCTCTTTTAGTGTAAAAGGCACAGGAACAAAATGTGAATTTGTAATTCAACATTTATTTACCCTGTAAATATGTACATATTTGAAAGAAACTAGTAGTGGTGCATACATACCAGGTTGCGGCAAATGATTACCCTACACTAGGTAATCTGTGCCAATGTAGTGATTTACATATGAGCGGCGCAGCATGGATTGTTGATTGAAAGGTTAATCATACACTACTATAAATAATAATACAGGTGTATTACTGGTTGCATATCTTAACGTATTCTCGACGACAATTCGTAAGGTTGCAGTAATTTATTGTGCCGTATGGATGGCGCCAGTTGCCTATGCAATCCATAGATATATAAATACCTAGATACAGCCATCCTTAACAAACGTACCTCGGTTTTTAAAAAACATATCAAAGAAATTTGTACATCTCTCCATTACTTTCTAACCAAGATGAAACATGTTCTATCTCTTTTTATTGCATTAACCACTATGTCGTACGCGAATCGGACGCTTAAAACAAACTTAGCGCGTCCCATAAGTCATGTGACAGTTGACACATTTCACGATAGCGCGAAATCCAATCTAACTAAAAATATTCGCCCTAAACATGATGGGCGGTTTTTTCACTAAATATTATGTAATTATTGCGTTATCAATTGAATACGAATAACATTAGTGCTTGCCATAATGATAGACGCGTCCATAATTGTTATTCCTGAAATAGTTTTATTACATCGAACTACGCCATTCAAATTTGGGATAATGTTTACCCTGTTTGGCATGATGTGCTGCATTGAATTCATTGCTGGCTTGCAGAATATCAAAAAAACCGTAAGTAAGTAAAGTTTATGTTCAACATTTTAATTTTAATTGCATGGTTTTAGGCGTAATGGTAAAGGAAATTGTTGCGACAGGAAGTGAATTCGTTTCCAATTATTATTTTGGCCTATATGATGTTGATGCAGTGCGTTTGTATCATGATCACAAAGAAGGATCCGTCCAATATTCTTAGGAAAACGAGTTTTTAGACTGTGTGTGCGTGCAATATCAAATTTTGGTCGCTACGCGTCTTGCCTACCTTTCGGCATATGTCCATTCGGTGGGGTTTCTTTTTGAAATTATAGTGCTAATTGTAGTAAGTAAGCTACACGTGTACATTTATTTAAAATAAATACAACACCTTAACAATGATATCCAATTGGTGATAATACTCATTTAGTGAACATTCATTACGTTTGTAAAAGCTCACAATCCGAATCATCGTCAGATGAAATTGACAAATTTGAATCATCACTGTCATTATTAACACTTAGGTATTATAAAGTTCAGCAACATCAACCAAATATAACTTCTCTTTTAAATTAATCACTTTCCACATGTTCACACACTTTCTTCCAGTTGTCAGCTGTAATTTTTTCAAATTCTTCATTTGCCAGCTTTATAAGTAACATCTTCCATTTTAAATGTAACATTTCTTGCTGCTATGCGATTTAAATAAATAAAAAGGCGGTTTATTTATGTTGTAAAGTTTCAAATCTGATAATTTTCTGTGTGATTTGTGCTAACAATTTGATTGACAGTTATAATAAATAATGCGAATCTTGTCTTCCATGCTCAGGGTACCTCTATAAAGGATAGCGCTATACGTAATTAATGTGCCGAAAGTGATGGTAATAGATGGTACGTCCTTTTGAACTATGTTGGGGTATGGCTGTATCTATGTATTTATATATCTATGATGCAATCGTACTTGGCGACATTTTTGAATTTATAATACAATCTATTTACAGAAGTTTTAATGAACAGTCTTATAACTAATAAGTATTTATTGTTAGGTGATATAGTAGTAGTATTTTAATGTACGCAATGACCTTTAGAAATATAATTATGGCCTGCAATTTTACGGCACATTAAACATAAGAAGGAGCCCATTTGCATTATTTTTATCATTTACGTTATAATCAAATTTAGCTTCGAAAAATGAAATCGTTATGTCACGAGCGGCGAGTGCCAAACTGTCGTAAATAAAAACAAAAACGTTTTGGCGTACAAATCAAAGTTAAGTTCAAGGTTTTTCCCGGCAAATGAGAGAGGCGCACGATAATTGGGTGAAGAAAGTGAAAGTGCTTATGCCAGTTTCGCTTACACCCACTAATGACTACTTTCTCCGAGATCATTTGGTCGAATTAAAATCAGCTTCTTGGCGTTGCGTGAATGTTGCACAATTTTTTTGTAATCCGCTTCCCGTCCGGACATTGTTTAATAGCCATTCATGGAGGTAGTTGCATTTCGGATGATTCACACTCGATGTCTCACCACCTGTGGACTATTTGAATCACCACCAAAAGGCCATTTCCTTCACCTTCTCTTTGTTTCTCAAGGTATTCCGTTGTTACAAGACAGATGAGATTTAGGTTGTTGTATAACGGTTTACGATTCCTTTCGTGCAGTGTTTTAAAAGCTTGCCCTGGTCGCGCTTGGGATTTATAAATATCGTTTTAAAGGTCGTCGTTACAGATTTTGAGATTGCATTTTCGCTTTTGAATCGATCCATCTTTAGGTGCCAGAAAAGGTGAGGTAAGAAGGTCACTTTCACAAACCTCAAGATGTTTAACTGAGATATGTGAAATCTGTGAAAGTCTCACTTATTTTTTCAATTAAAAAAAAGATAAAAATAAGGTTTTTAGGTACGCGCCTGGGGTAAATATAACTCGTAGGTTTACGTAAACGATTTTTAAAATAGGCCAGATGCAGGGGGTAATTTTCTCCATTGTATGGTAGGTATTAATTATCGGTATACCCAGTGCCGTTTTTAGGCATGGGCCACCTGGGCCCGGGCCCGGGTCAGGGCCCCGAAGTCCTGAGGGGCCCCCAAAAGTTTGTGTGAATGAATAAATTTTAGTGCAAAATCTGCCGCCTTAAAGTAAATGCAGATTTAAACAAAATTAATGCATAGAGTAAGGGATACCGGAAATTCTAAAATCCTGCGGATCGTGTATACAGGGTGGTAACTTGCGTAGCGCATAATACGGATTTCAATGTAAAATTCATAACATGCGATTATTGGCTCCCCACATTATTTTAGAGCAAAAATGTATTAAGGTTTTTTTAGAAAAAAATTTTTTACGTCAATCAACCGTATTAGTTTTCCATTTTTTGCATAATAAAGACGGAAAATTGGAAATGTAAAACCCCCATCTTTTTCAATAATCTGTGATGCCATGGAATTTTATAATACAAAAACTACGCCAATATCTGTCATGCCATGGAATGTCTGCATAAAACAAATCGAATTCTATCAAAAAGTATTATATTTAGAACAGCGAATTCAACATAAAGAAAGACCAAATTACTAAAAACGGTTTCCTAATATAACAATTTACAATAAATGTTCGAATAACTCACCATTAACTGCAAGACAGTCGATCATAAAATCCATTTCGAGCTGCTGCTAATTGATAATTGGATATCTTTTTGTTTTAGAAAATTCCATGGCATCACAGATTCTTGAAAAAGATGCGGGTTTTATTTTTCCAATTTTCCTTCTTTATATGTAAAAAATTGAAAACAAAGACAACGTAAAAAATTTTGTGTACAAAAAACTTTAATACATTTTTGCTCTAAAATAATTTGGGTACCAATAATCGCATGTTTTGAATTTTACATTGAAATCCCTATGATGCGTTACGCAAGTCACCACCCTGTATAAGGTTACCATTTAGAAAGTTAAAAAGTCCTAATAAGTGATAAAAAGCCTAAAGTGGGTATTACACTGAGGTTTTGCCCATGGGTAAGATATTGACTTTACAGTTCAATAAAATAAAAGTCCGGTCATTTTCTTCACAAAATGCAAACATTGTGCCGTTTTTATTGAGGGTAAGGGGGGCCTCCACGAACGAATGGCCCAGGGCCCTGAAAAACTTTAAAACGGCACTGGGTATACCGCATGTGTTTTTGTTTTGTATTTCTCAGTTGTTTCATAACCTGGACCAATAAAAGATGATAAGAGATACACCTGTAGATGAACCAAAAAAGAAACACTTTACCTTTACTTTATAAATTATAATCTGTTATACGGTGCCCCAACTTGTTTGCTGGTATGTATGTATACAGGGTGATTCCTATAGTACCTGCCACCGTTTGGGAGCGTGTAGGTGGTGCGTAGGGGAGTATTTTGATATAGGATACTTGGGGTCGGAAATCTAAAATAAGGGTGCCAGAGCCAAATTTACCTTCTGGAATTTCGCGCCTGTAGGTAGGCAACCCAACCGGCCGGCGGTGCACACGGAGCGATCTCAGGCGGCGATTTGTGGCTGACACTTGATCAGAATTTTGTTTAAACCCACGAAATCCCGTCTGCAACGACACGTATCAAGTGAATAAACACTATGGCAATAGTATAATAATAGTTGGCTAGATGTAGGAAGTGCATTGAGAACAACGGTGGCCACGTTGAACACTTGTAAACGTTATTGCTTTTGACTGTCGTTTTCCCTCCTTCCCTCCCATGTCGCTTCCTCGCGCTAACTCGCTCTGCATCGCTCCGCGCGAAACGTCGGTCGGTTGGGTTGCCTACATACAGGCGTGAAATTCCAGAAGATAAATTTGGTTCTGGCGCCCTTATTTTAGATTTCCGACCCCAAGTGTCCTATATCAAAATACTCCCCTAGGCACCCCCTATACGCTCCCAAACGGTGGCAGGTACTATAGGAATCACCCTGTATATCTCATGGATGGTACTCCCTGCTAGCATTGTTTAAATATGCTACTAGGCAGTCCCTAGGTACAGACGTTTTCAGACAGCATCAATGGTCCGGCCGTCTGTGTGACTTAATGACAGTCGCGGTATGACTGCCGGGACCGCCAGCTTTATATGCCCTCCAAAGCATGGGACTTAGGAGATGTTCTGTGCCACTAAAAACTGGCACGTTGTGGGATTCGAACTCACCACCTGTGAGGTTAGGAGTCCGAAACTTAAACCGTTACGGTTTAATGTGCATAATAGGCCAGTCATAGGTATAAGACAATTTTTTTGCCAAACATTGCAAAAAATACTGTATAGTTGCCTTTTTAATATGTTGTTAGGGACTACCTAGACGGTATAAATCTAGATTTGCAACCCTCAGAAACATGAGCCAGCCGATGTACAGGGTGAAAATCAAGAAAATTTTGAACTTTTTTCAGTTTTTCGCAAAAAGATAAGTAAAGGAGTGTTCTAAAGAGGAAATGTGTTATTATCTCTTTTAAAGTACAGAAAATTACCTAAAAGGCCAGCTAT